TGGTACTAATGACATGTGACATGGGGACTGGTACTAATGACGTGTGACATGGGGACTGCCACCAATGACATGTGACATGGGGACTGGTACCAATGACATGTGACATGGGGACTGCCACCAATGACACATGAAGGCTGGCACCTATGACATGGGGGAGGTATTAACGACATGACGTCGACAACCATCTGATGGAGCAGCAGTCTACCGTTAAAACTCAAACCTCACCACAGTCTAGCGTTAAATCTCAAACCTCACCACAGTCTACCGTTAAAACTCAAACCTCACCACAGTCTACCGTTAAAACTCAAACCTCACCAGCAGTCTACCGTTAAAACTCAAACTTTACAAGCGCTGGTTGAGCAGGTGTTCAACACATTTTTTACTCCCCCTTGTGGTGTAGATAACACGGCAAGATGTTGCTGCTTTCAGTTGATACGTTCAGTTTAAATTTTAATAAAACGAACTGAGCCTGTGATCCTGAGTTTATTTGATCAATTTGTAGTCGTGAACAGAATGTTGTCAGACGATGGAGGTCAGGGGTCACGTTGATTTTTTTATGGAGGTTTTAGGAGAGGATGCAGAGTTTCTTCCAGACATTCAGGCTCCGTCCCCCACCCCCAACCCCCCCGAATAAAGTCTACCCCCCCCCCCCGAAAACTTCAAGTGCCCCCCCCCCCCCCGAGAAAAAAGTCTGGAAGAAAGACTGAGAGGACTAAGATCAAATTGGTAGTGTCATGGGCGCAGTTTGTAGCCGCAGTTTGTAGCCGCAGTTTGTAGCCCAAGTTTGTAGCCGCAGTTTGTAGCCCAAGTTTGTAACCCAAGTTTGTAACCCAAGTTTGTAGTCTATGTTTGCAGTCTATGTTTGTAGCCCAAGTTTGTAGTCTGTTTGTAGCCCCAGTTTGTAGCACAAGTTTGTAGTATATGTTTGTAGCCCAAATTTGTAGCGCAAGTTTGTAGCCCAATTTTGTAGTCTATGTTTGTAGCCCAAGTTTGTATCCCAAGTTTGTAGCCCAAGTTTGTAGTCTATGTTTGTTAGCGCAAGTTTGTAGATCAAGTTTGTAATCTATGTTTGTAGCCCAAAGTTTCTAGTCTATGTTTGTAGCCCAAGTTTGTAGTCTATGTTTGTTAGCTCAAGTTTGTAGCTCAAGTTTGTAGTCTATGTTTGTAGCCCAAGTTTGTAGCCCAAGTTTGTAGTCTATGTTTGTAGCCCAAGTTTGTATCCCAAGTTTGTAGCCCAAAGTTTCTAGTCTATGTTTGTAGCCCAAGTTTGTAGCTCAAGTTTGTAGTCTATGTTTGTAGCCCAAGTTTGTAATTTTGACTGCCTTAGCGTCTCTATTTGATATAAATTGTAGCCATATGTGCACCACCAAGGGACAGAATCCAGCCAGCCAGCCAGCCCGTCCATCCGTCAGTCAGTCAGTCCGTCAGTCCGTCCGTCCGTCCGTCCGTCAGTCCGTCAGTCAGTCAGTCATCGATAAAGATTCTAGAACCATAAAAGTGTACAACAACAGATGGTGGTGTATCTTACTTGCATCTCAGTGTCTTATTATAAGTAATGCAGTAGGGTCGATTTATAAAACCACTTTCACTTTTTGATCGTCGACAAAATGTTTACTCTTTCGCATACGTCAACAAAATAACGTACAGAAAATATTAAATACACGCATATTGCTAAAACATATTAAACGGTTTAATGTCAAATAATATTTTCGCATAGATTTATAGAAAACTACTGAATTAAAATGTTTCAAATAATTATGTCAGGGGAGGTAATTTAAAAAGAAATTCTACTTACGCTAAATAATGCTATTTAGGTTAAATTTTTTTCATAAAGCTTTGCGTTTGTTTGGGCTTGTGATTTTATTTTTGTGTTTGTATTGTGTTTGTGTTTGCGTGTGTGTATTTGTTCGCGTTTGCTTGATGCATTCTGTTTCTGTTTTGTGTTTGCGTTTACGTTGTGTTTGAGTTTTTTTTTTTTGAGTTTTCGTTTAATTGCGTTTGTTTTCTTTTATGTTTGCGTTTATGTTTGCGTTTGTGTCTGCATGTTGCGTTTTTGTTTGCGTTTTCTTTTGTATTTTCTTGTGTTTGCGTTTATGTTTGCGTTTGTGTCTGTATGTTGCGTTTTTGTTTGCGTTTTCTTTTGTATTTTCTTGTGTTTGTGTTTATGTTTGTGTATGTGTTTGCGTTTTCATTTGTGTGTTTTTTTGTGCGTGTTTTTTAGCGCAATTTCCATTCTGGAGAATTGCGTTTATTAACTCGTCATTTCTGGGAATGGATGGATGGATGAAAGAATGAATGGATGGATGGATGGATGGATGTGTGTCCGCAGCTTTAAGTCGTCTTTAAGTCGTATCTCCTCCTCAACGAAACAATATCGAGGACTAGTTCCAAAGCAAATATGTTAAGCAAGTTCCGAGGATGAACATAGGCCAAAAAAATTCCCGGAATTCCTTCCTGGATTTCCCGGAAAAGCCAAAAAAACCTCGAAAAAATGCAGTTTTTGGCCCATATCTCGGCAACCAGACTACTTAGCGACTTGAAACATTTACCAATCCATTGCTGCCATAATTTAGAACAATATTGCCGAAGAAAGTTTTCAAAAATATCCTTTCGTTCGGCCACAAAAAAATTAATTACGAATTTTTAAACTGAGCATCGTGTAGGCCTGGGATGATTTAGCGCAAAGCGATGAGGTTCGAAAGGATTTTAATATAGCGAATGAGCGGAGGTTCGAAAGGATTTTTTCTTTTTTGTTTTGAATTATTGAAACTACTTGTGTTACATTATTTATTTGCTGAATATATGATTTATCTCGATTTAAAATTGTTATGGATAACATAAGGAAATTGCGCTTAAATTGTCACTAGACTTTTTATTAACTTGTTTTTAGTGTTTGTGTATGGCTTTGTTTTTGAGTTGGAGATTTTGTTATGTTTGTTTGCGTTGTGTTTGTGTTTGCGTTTGTGTTTGTACTTGGACTTGGACTTGTATTCGTATTCGTATTCGTGTTCGTATTTGTATTTGTATATATATTTGTATTCGTATTTGTATTTGTTTTGTTCCCGAATTGCTACATTTAAAAAAGATGCACCGTGGCAAAGCACGGGTATGCAGCTAGTATATATATATATATATATATATATATATATATATATATATATATATATATATATATATATATATATATATATATATATATATATATATATATATATATATGGGCCATAAACCACGACGTCAATCTAAAGCTGTTGGGCCATATAACAATGACTCAATCTAAAGCTGGTGGGACATAAAACCATGACGTCAATCTAAAGCTGGTGGGACGTATAACCATGACGTCAATCTAAATCTGGTGGGACTTATAACCATGACGTCAATCTAAAGCTGGTTGGACGTATAACCATGACGTCAATCTAAAGCTGGTGGGACGTATAACCATGACGTCAATCTAAAGCTGGTGGGACGTATAACCATGACGTCAATCTAAAGCTGGTGGGACGTATAACCATGACGTCAATCTAAAGCTGGTTGGACGTATAACCATGACATCAATCTAAAGCTGGTGGGACGTATAACCATGACGTCAATCTAAAGCTGGTGGGACGTATAACCATGACGTCAATCTAAAGCTGGTGGGACGTATAACCATGACGTCAATCTAAAGCTGGTGGGACGTATAACCATGACGTCAATCTAAAGCTGGTGGGACGTATAACCATGACATCAATCTAAAGCTGGTGGGACGTATAACCATGACGTCAATCTAAAGCTGGTGGGACGTATAACCATGACGTCAATCTAAAGCTGGTGGGACGTCTAGCTAGGACGTCAACCTTACACTGTGCGATATAGGTGGTTATGATGCTTATTGTACAATTCAGAAGAGATGCACAGTGTATTAAAAAGGTCAAGGATATTCATTTACAGTTCAAAAGAAAGATCAAGGACACGCACATTTTTGGCACCCACTGGCAGATCTGTGTCAGCCCAGTAAGTCATTCCACTTTGTGACCTTACACCTTGTTTCGTTTATGGGTTTATGGGGGTGTGTGGCGGTGGGGGTGGGGGGGGGGTGGGCTGTTGTATTCACAATACCGTCACTACATTGCCGGCTGTATTCACAATACCGTCACTACATTGCCGGCTGTATTCACAATACCGTCACTACATTGCCGGCTCTATTCACCATACCGTCAATACATTCAGTGTTTCTTCCAGACTTTTTTCTCCGGGGGGGGGGGGGGGCACTTGAAATTCTCCGGGGGGGGGGGCGGACACTGTTAAATTATATAAATTTCATTTCGTTCGGGGGGGGGGGGCGGTAGAAGCGATGCCTGTAAGAAACTGAATACATTTATAGTCTAGAACTAGTGGAGAGTGCATGTGTGAGTGGAGTTCACCCTACTGTGTAGTTACCCTTGTGTGTTTATGTCTTGTAGTCCCAAGGTCGAATGCGGGTATAAAATGGCGAGTGAACGATTGTGGGGGGAGTCAGCAGGTTAGTAGCTGTTAGGACGAGGGCTGTTCTGGTACGCTTGAATGCATTGAGACGAATAAAAGTAGTGAAGTTATACACGAAGTGTTGTTGTTGATTTGAAACGAACCCAGAACGTAACACATACCGTCACTACATTGCCGGCTATAGTCAACCGGTTATTCGTGACGTCATATAAATCAAATCTGTGTTTTAATTTCGAATTGAACTAAATGAATTAAATGAATCGATGAAATCGATGTTTTAATTTAGAGCTGAACATTAAATGAAATGATTAAATCGATGTTTAATTTAGACTTAAACTTATTGAATGAATCGATTTGATCGGTGTTTTAATTTTGACTTGAACTCATTGAATGAATCGATTTGATCTCCCCGCACATTTGTGTGAGACGTAAAACAGGGGAGGCCACTTGCAGTCATCCACGCGCGGCCCCTGCTTGCCCGGTAGAGTTGCGGCCCCTGCTTGCCCGGTAGAGTTGTCTTCCGTGTCTGCCCCGCGCCAACCCGAGCAGCAGAAGTGCGCCTACGTCTGCTGGATCACTTCCTTGAACCGTTGACTGGCACCGAGCTGATAGCAGACGTCTCACCAGTTTTTCTAGAGGTTTCGTGCTTCAAACTCGCCTATCTCATTTTGATAATCAAGTTAATTAGTTTACTTAAGTTATTTGTTTTAATGAAGTGATTTGGTTAAAAACGTTCTCCGTCGGAGGATATATTTTCAAAGGCATTTGTGAGTCGCCCAACTAAGAAAGTAGCGGATCTAAAACCTTTCTTATTGTGTCCCGTGGGTCTCACACTGCCCCGCGTGTGGATAAGTGGTTCTCGCACTCAGGAGGCACGGGATTAAGTTTGCACGACCGAATGTGAGTACACCCAATGTATTTTTCTGGTTTTTCTCTCGGTACAAACAAATATTTATTTAGAGCTCTCCAGGCATCATGTTCTAGTCTCTTCTACTGTCCCAGCTGTCCCAGGTCTCCTACTGTCCCAGGTCTCCTGCTGTCCCAGGTCTCCTACTGTCCCAGCTGTCCCAGGTCTCCTACTGTCCCAGGTCTCCTGCTGTCCCAGGTCTCCTACTGTCCCAGGTCTCCTACTGTCCCAGGTCTCCTGCTGTCCCAGGTCTCCTACTGTCCCAGGTCTCCTGCTGTCCCAGGTCTCCTACTGTCCCAGGTCTCCTACTGTCCCAGCTGTCCCAGGTCTCCTACTGTCCCAGGTCTCCTACTGTCCCAGGTCTCCTACTGTCCCAGGTCTCCTACTGTCCCAGCTGTCCCAGGTCTCCTACTGTCCCAGGTCTCCTACTGTCCCAGGTCTCCTACTGTCTCAGGTCTCCTACTGTCCCAGGTCTCCTACTGTCCCAGGTCTCCTACTGTCTCAGGTCTCCTACTGTCCCAGGTCTCCTACTGTCCCAGGTCTCCTACTGTCCCAGGTCTCCTACTGTCCCAGGTCTCCTACTGTCTCAGGTCTCCTACTGTCCCAGGTCTCCTACTGTCCCAGCTGTCCCAGGTCTCCTACTGTCCCAGGTCTCCTACTGTCCCAGGTCTCCTACTGTCCCAGGTCTCCTACTGTCCCAGGTCTCCTACTGTCCCAGGTCTCCTACTGTCCCAGCTGTCCCAGGTCTCCTACTGTCCCAGGTCTCCTACTGTCCCAGGTCTCCTACTGTCCCAGGTCTCCTACTGTCCCAGGTCTCCTACTGTCCCAGGTCTCCTACTGTCCCAGGTCTCCTGCTGTCCCAGGTCTCCTACTGTCCCAGGTCTCCTACTGTCCCAGGTCTCCTGCTGTCCCAGGTCTCCTACTGTCCCAGGTCTCCTGCTGTCCCAGGTCTCCTACTGTCCCAGGTCTCCTACTGTCCCAGCTGTCCCAGGTCTCCTACTGTCCCAGGTCTCCTACTGTCCCAGGTCTCCTACTGTCCCAGGTCTCCTACTGTCCCAGGTCTCCTACTGTCCCAGCTGTCCCAGGTCTCCTACTGTCCCAGGTCTCCTACTGTCCCAGCTGTCCCAGGTCTCCTACTGTCCCAGGTCTCCTACTGTCCCAGCTGTCCCAGGTCTCCTACTGTCCCAGGTCTCCTACTGTCCCAGCTGTCCCAGGTCTCCTACTGTCCCAGCTGTCCCAGGTCTCCTACTGTCCCAGGTCTCCTACTGTCCCAGCTGTCCCAGGTCTCCTACTGTCCCAGCTGTCCCAGGTCTCCTACTGTCCCAGGTCTCCTACTGTCCCAGCTGTCCCAGGTCTCCTACTGTCCCAGCTGTCCCAGGTCTCCTACTGTCCCAGGTCTCCTACTGTCCCAGCTGTCCCAGGTCTCCTACTGTCCCAGGTCTCCTACTGTCCCAGCTGTCCCAGGTCTCCTACTGTCCCAGGTCTCCTACTGTCCCAGCTGTCCCAGGTCTCCTACTGTCCCAGGTCTCCTACTGTCCCAGGTCTCCTACTGTCCCAGGTCTCCTACTGTCCCAGGTCTCCTACTGTCCCAGGTCTCCTACTGTCCCAGGTCTCCTACTGTCCCAGGTCTCCTACTGTCCCAGCTGTCCCAGGTCTCCTACTGTCCCAGGTCTCCTACTGTCCCAGGTCTCCTACTGTCCCAGCTGTCCCAGGTCTCCTACTGTCCCAGGTCTCCTACTGTCCCAGGTCTCCTACTGTCCCAGGTCTCCTACTGTCCCAGGTCTCCTACTGTCCCAGGTCTCCTACTGTCCCAGGTCTCCTACTGTCCCAGGTCTCCTACTGTCCCAGGTCTCCTACTGTCCCAGGTCTCCTACTGTCCCAGGTCTCCTACTGTCCCAGGTCTCCTACTGTCCCAGGTCTCCTACTGTCCCAGGTCTCCTACTGTCCCAGCTGTCCCAGGTCTCCTACTGTCCCAGGTCTCCTACTGTCCCAGGTCTCCTACTGTCCCAGGTCTCCTACTGTCCCAGGTCTTCTACTGTCCCAGGTCTCCTACTGTCCCAGGTCTCCTACTGTCCCAGGTCTCCTACTGTCCCAGGTCTCCTACTGTCCCAGGTCTCCTACTGTCCCAGGTCTCCTACTGTCCCAGGTCTCCTACTGTCCCAGGTCTCCTACTGTCCCAGGTCTCCTACTGTCCCAGGTCTCCTACTGTCCCAGCTGTCCCAGGTCTCCTACTGTCCCAGGTCTCCTACTGTCCCAGGTCTCCTACTGTCCCAGGTCTCCTACTGTCCCAGGTCTCCTACTGTCCCAGGTCTCCTACTGTCCCAGGTCTCCTACTGTCCCAGGTCTCCTACTGTCCCAGGTCTCCTACTGTCCCAGGTCTCCTACTGTCCCAGGTCTCCTACTGTCCCAGGTCTCCTACTGTCCCAGGTCTCCTACTGTCCCAGGTCTCCTACTGTCCCAGGTCTCCTACTGTCCCAGGTCTCCTACTGTCCCAGCTGTCCCAGGTCTCCTACTGTCCCAGGTCTCCTACTGTCCCAGGTCTCCTACTGTCCCAGCTGTCCCAGGTCTCCTACTGTCCCAGGTCTCCTACTGTCCCAGGTCTCCTACTGTCCCAGGTCTCCTACTGTCCCAGGTCTCCTACTGTCCCAGGTCTCCTACTGTCCCAGGTCTCCTACTGTCCCAGGTCTCCTACTGTCCCAGGTCTCCTACTGTCCCAGGTCTCCTACTGTCCCAGGTCTCCTACTGTCCCAGGTCTCCTACTGTCCCAGGTCTCCTACTGTCCCAGGTCTCCTACTGTCCCAGGTCTCCTACTGTCCCAGGTCTCCTACTGTCCCAGGTCTCCTACTGTCCCAGGTCTCCTACTGTCCCAGGTCTCCTACTGTCCCAGGTCTCCTACTGTCCCAGGTCTCCTACTGTCCCAGGTCTCCTACTGTCCCAGGTCTCCTACTGTCCCAGGTCTCCTACTGTCCCAGGTCTCCTACTGTCCCAGGTCTCCTACTGTCCCAGGTCTCCTACTGTCCCAGGTCTCCTACTGTCCCAGGTCTCCTACTGTCCCAGGTCTCCTACTGTCCCAGGTCTCCTACTGTCCCAGGTCTCCTACTGTCCCAGGTCTCCTACTGTCCCAGGTCTCCTACTGTCCCAGGTCTCCTACTGTCCCAGGTCTCCTACTGTCCCAGGTCTCCTACTGTCCCAGGTCTCCTACTGTCCCAGGTCTCCTACTGTCCCAGGTCTCCTACTGTCCCAGGTCTCCTACTGTCCCAGGTCTCCTACTGTCCCAGGTCTCCTACTGTCCCAGGTCTCCTACTGTCCCAGGTCTCCTACTGTCCCAGGTCTCCTACTGTCCCAGGTCTCCTACTGTACTGTCCCAGGTCTCCTACTGTCCCAGGTCTCCTACTGTCCCAGGTCTCCTACTGTCCCAGGTCTCCTAGCTGTCCCAGGTCTCCTACTGTCCCAGGTCTCCTACTGTCCCAGGTCTCCTACTGTCCCAGCTGTCCCAGGTCTCCTACTGTCCCAGGTCTCCTACTGTCCCAGGTCTCCTACTGTCCCAGGTCTCCTACTGTCCCAGGTCTCCTACTGTCCCAGGTCTCCTACTGTCCCAGGTCTCCTACTGTCCCAGGTCTCCTACTGTCCCAGGTCTCCTACTGTCCCAGGTCTCCTACTGTCCCAGGTCTCCTACTGTCCCAGGTCTCCTACTGTCCCAGGTCTCCTACTGTCCCAGGTCTCCTACTGTCCCAGGTCTCCTACTGTCCCAGGTCTCCTACTGTCCCAGGTCTCCTACTGTCCCAGGTCTCCTACTGTCCCAGGTCTCCTACTGTCCCAGGTCTCCTACTGTCCCAGGTCTCCTACTGTCCCAGGTCTCCTACTGTCCCAGGTCTCCTACTGTCCCAGCTGTCCCAGGTCTCCTACTGTCCCAGGTCTCCTACTGTCCCAGCTGTCCCAGGTCTCCTACTGTCCCAGGTCTCCTACTGTCCCAGGTCTCCTACTGTCCCAGGTCTCCTACTGTCCCAGGTCTCCTACTGTCCCAGGTCTCCTACTGTCCCAGGTCTCCTACTGTCCCAGGTCTCCTACTGTCCCAGGTCTCCTACTGTCCCAGGTCTCCTACTGTCCCAGGTCTCCTACTGTCCCAGGTCTCCTACTGTCCCAGGTCTCCTACTGTCCCAGGTCTCCTACTGTCCCAGGTCTCCTACTGTCTCAGGTCTCCTACTGTCCCAGGTCTCCTACTGTCCCAGGTCTCCTACTGTCCCAGGTCTCCTACTGTCCCAGGTCTCCTACTGTCCCAGGTCTCCTACTGTCCCAGGTCTCCTACTGTCCCAGGTCTCCTACTGTCCCAGGTCTCCTACTGTCCCAGGTCTCCTACTGTCCCAGGTCTCCTACTGTCCCAGGTCTCCTACTGTCCCAGGTCTCCTACTGTCCCAGGTCTCCTACTGTCCCAGGTCTCCTACTGTCCCAGCTGTCCCAGGTCTCCTACTGTCCCAGGTCTCCTACTGTCCCAGGTCTCCTACTGTCCCAGCTGTCCCAGGTCTCCTACTGTCCCAGGTCTCCTACTGTCCCAGGTCTCCTACTGTCCCAGGTCTCCTACTGTCTCAGGTCTCCTACTGTCCCAGGTCTCCTACTGTCCCAGGTCTCCTACTGTCCCAGGTCTCCTACTGTCCCAGATCTCCTACTGTCTCAGGTCTCCTACTGTCCCAGGTCTCCTACTGTCTCAGGTCTCCTACTGTCCCCGCTGTCCCAGGTCTCCTACTGTCCCAGGTCTCCTACTGTCCCAGGTCTCCTACTGTCCCAGGTCTCCTACTGTCCCAGGTCTCCTACTGTCCCAGCTGTCCCAGGTCTCCTACTGTCCCAGGTCTCCTACTGTCCCAGGTCTCCTACTGTCCCAGGTCTCCTACTGTCCCAGGTCTCCTACTGTCTCAGGTCTCCTACTGTCCCAGGTCTCCTACTGTCCCAGGTCTCCTACTGTCCCAGGTCTCCTACTGTCCCAGGTCTCCTACTGTCC